ACTGTCTAGTCCCCTGATGTAATCCCCCTTCTTTTGATATGCCATGCATGCACCACTTTAAGACACTTCAGACCAGGCAAAGTAGATGTACAACTCCTGAGGTAGTCAAGGGTAACACAGGAACAGCTCTTCCAAGACAACTTCACATACACTCCTGTACAGAGTTTTTTATGTGCCCAAAAGGTAGTCATACCTAATTTAGCAGCGTTAGAGTTCATAAAGTAACTCATAGCAACAAGAATCCAACAAGCAATAATCCACAAAGAGGAACACACAGAGTCAAACAGGTGTTAGCAAAAGTCCATGAAACTCCAGCTCTCTGGGACCCCAGACTGGGTTCCCACATGGGGGCTCAGTCTTGCAGCAAAACAGTTACATCTTTGTAATCAGGTTGAAACTAGTTAATAATGTGCTGCCCCAGATGGGTGGTGTAGAGATTAACAGTATTTCTCGAGCAAGCTTTTTAAGTCCAACCCACTGGTCTTGTGACTAAAAAAAAGGAACAGTGGTCCAGAGTCCAGGGAGAGTGAGAACGGGGGAAGGAACCCTGAGCTTCCAGCTTCTGTATCCTCTGCCTGATGGAGTTACTAATATCTGCTAATGTCTGGAAACCTGTCCTGATGGAAGGGGCCATTGGAGCCTGAGGTTCGCCCTGTAGACACCAGCTGCTGGAGAATGCCACTGATGAACGTCTTTATTCACATGGATACTACCTTTGCAGGTATGCCAGGGAAGCACATAGCCTGAGTAGGCTTAAGAACTTAGTAAAAAGGACTGTTCTTGTCTATGGGACTTTGTCATGTTTTTGGTACTTTTATTAAATAAATAATTAAACCTTGCTCTCTGCCTGGTCTGAAGTTCTTTAAAGGAGTGCAATGCAAGTAACCGGCACACTTCCACAATCCATGGGTCACTAGCACATTGGGGTATGAAGAGTCAGCGTTTAAAAGGTCATCTTAATACAAGTTTTGCATGATGGGCAACGGAGATCAACAGTTAGTCAAGCAGCCGGTGGAATAGCCTCTAGCAGTGAGGGAGATGTTTTGGGTACTCCCTACATCACATTCTGTCTCCCATAGCAACAGGGGCAGAGCTGCACCACAGAGGTTCCCATTCTGTAGAGAGGTACGGAAGCTCACAAGTTAAAGTGAAGTGCATGGTGGAGCCCACATTAGGTGCATGGCGGGGCCCACTCTGCTACTGGGGACAGTAATGGAAAATGCTAGCTAGTTGTGGTCAGTGTTTGGCACAGCCATTGCAAGCTGTAGATGGAAGATGTACATTTACATGGGGATCCGGAAGTTAACTGGAGGACAGCTATTGTGAAATTTTACACACAGTGTACATTCATCTCTAAGAGTGGAGGCACACCTTAAGGTTGAGTTTTCCCCAATGGCAGCCTCAGCCTTGTCCCAAGGCATTGGTGAGAACGACCCCAAAGCAAAGGTTCCCCATATGTAGGAGAGCGATCCTGTTGCAGGTGACCCCTAGCATAGCCCAAATGAAAGACTCACACCCCCAGGACAGTCTTATGTGAGCCCCCAGACTGTTGGTGCCCAGTGAGTTAAACTGGCTCACCCAAAACATCAAGGAAAGTAACAAACCAGCACTTTGCCCTGTAAACCCTTGGCCCCTTTCCTACACCCAAGCATACACTGAAGGCTCCGGACCTCCAAGGACACAGCAAAGCCCCTATTTATACAGTATGACCTGTAGGTGGTGGGTGGTGAACCTCTGAAAAATGGCAAGAAAACCTGGCCTGCAGAGTTAACCCTTACTGCTCTCAGCTCACCCACTCCACAGGTCAACTTCAGGACACAGTGCAACGCACTTACATTGTAAAAAAACAAATTTTGATGGACTTTACAAACAGCTGATCAGTTACTTGAGTAGAGGACGTTGTTGTATCTCAGGACTTACAAATGGATGCAAAAAAAAAATAGAAAAACTTTTAACCTTGTAAACCCTCCTGGAGACACCTGCTTACATGCCACTTGGACCCTAGAGTTGTGCTAACCAGTGACTGATGTGCAGTCCATGCTCTAAGGGGTCTGATAAGTTGAAAGCTTACAAATGTCACTTGATGCAAAAAACCCCCCGTTTTTAAGATACTACGGTACTTGGGACATACACATGGTGGAAGCAGGGAAAGGGAGTGTCCACAGGACACATGAAAACTCCAAGATTTCAAGTCATTATACAAATAAGTTGCCGGCCTATAGAAGAATTTAGTGATTTCATGAATAGTCAAAGTTGCAGCTTGAGGCACATGAGCAGATTTTCCTACAATTACAGATCAAATCACAAAATTGTTCAGCAGCTGCAGGAATCAATTCAGTATTTTTGATTTGGCTCTTTTGTGGGCCATTACTGACCGAGTCCATTTTTGCAGAGAATGTCCTTTTGATAGGGGGGCAAGTGGATATCTTCACAGATACCAAACCACTGACCTACTTGGATACAGGAAACTTGGGGGCTTTAGAGCAAAGGTGGATGTCAAGACTGGCTTGTTTTAACTATAGCTTATATTGTGAATGCCTTATCATGCTATCCATTGGCTGCTGAATCCTCTTGAGAGAGTTGAGGTGGCCACCTTAACATTTAAATAGGGAATCCCACATTATTGGGGCATGCTTCTAGCAAGTATATAGTTAGGGAGAGGAACTCACCTAATAGAGACAGTGCTCACCATAGGAAAAGGTTCTTGACAAGGAGGGACAGTGTTAGGGATACTATGGCTGCTGTCAGACCCTTCCATTATCCTTCTGGTGGTGTATTCAGTGAATAAAGAACGTAGATATCCTCCTCTCCAGCAAAAGCTGTTCTGGTAATGTTGCTTCTACTATATACATGCAGTGGCTGAATGTTAACTTTTCTCTTTATCTGCAAGTCTTGAACTGTATTTGTTTGTCTGTATTAATTGTGTCTATAAAGTTTTTCTCACAAGGACTATGTTGTCTTTGTGGTCCTCCTGAGCGGGTACCTGCACCAATGCCCCCCTACAACTAGGTGTCACCTAGGGCAATCTTAATGCAAATACAGTCCACCTAGGAACGTTCACTCCTAGAGACCAACATCCTTCCATCATGGCATTTTGATAAGCTTCATAATTCTCACAAGCAATCTGACCGGAAAGTCTCTTTCCTCGCACCAAGCAAAACAAAGACTTCCTGTTGCAATGGTAGACTGTGCAAAACGTTGGCTTCCTAGCATTTAATAAGAGTCAGGAAGACAGAATCTGAAAGGCTCCTATCCCTCATGACCATTGCTTCAACAGCTATGTTGTTAAAGTGGAACTCAATTTCCGCTGTCACAAACTGCAAGCAGACAGGCTCTTTATTACAGAAGAGACATTCAATGTCTCTTTTGTAATAAAAGTACACCTACCTGCCTGTTTGCAACCTTTTCTGGCATGAAAATTGAGCTGCACATGCACAGCTCAGATTACACTGCCAGCATGGGATGACTGACTTCTGCACGTGCATAGGAGTGATGGTCAGCCAGCCAATGAAGACAGCCAAAGACCGACACCCAGAAGAAGAGGCTGGCATCACTGAGGTACATGGACCATTAGAAGAAAGGTAAGTTTAGCTCTGCTTTAAAGCCAGTGACCTATAAGAAGGATGGTCCTTCATTAAAATAGTGGGAAACTACTTAGTAACCAGAAATTGTCGAGGCAAGAAACACTCTGGCCAGGAGTATGTAATGTATAGCACTTAATACTTTGTTGTGTACAATACAATGTATAGAGTGCAGTGGTCAGCAATATATGTCATAATGTCCCTCATATTGCTGGTCAGCAGGAGAAACAGAAAGTTGGTGGCTGCCAATGGGGGAAAAATGGCCAGCATGGATGGTAAGGGAGAGGAAAAATGTCTGCCATCAATGGTTGGAGGGAGGAAAAAATGCCCATTGTTGGTGGTCAAGGAAAGGAAAAATACCTATATGGGTGGTCAGCAGTAGGTAAAAAGCCAGTTCCAGTAGTCAACTGGAGGAAAAAATGCCTTTGCATTGGTGTTAATGGGAGGAAAAATCTTGTTTTGTCCCCTTACATTGGTGGTCACATGTCTGTGCCCCCCTTACAATGGTGGTCAGTATCCATGCTTCCTCACATTGGTGGTCAGTGTGCCTCATTACCTTAACCACTTGTCTACTGGGGCTTTGGGGCTTTTTTTTTTTTCATTTTTAACACACACGTTAAAAATCTATATTTTTTGCTATAACTTACTTTCAACTCCCAAACAAGTATTTAAATAATTGAGGAAATCAAGTAGATACCAAACACATCAAGCCTTAAGTGTGAAATGAATTTGCAAAAGAGAGGAGGGGAGCTGGTGAAAACCTTTGCGAGGGTAAATCTCAGATGTTTTGTGATACTTTTACAGAAAAGCAATAGAAAGAAGAATTGGCGAGTTTTTGGAAAACTTTGCTAGCCTTGGAAGCGTTACCTTGAACTAATCATCCCACACCATGTACTTGGAGGTGATAGTGTACTCATCATCTACTATTTCACTGTACAATCTGCCCTTTATAAGGAAGACAAACCCACCATTGATGACAACCTACCAGATGCAACGGGGACATAATGTTCCTAATGTGTCGGGAGGTGTAATTCATAAGATCATGTAACTTTGGGTCTTTGTAGTCAAAATGTTCACCAAAGATCACCGAACTTATAATATTCCCAACAGCACTGGCCAGGATCAATAGTGGATTGAACGGCTTTCCTATAATAAGAAAAAAATAAATCAATACCTTTTACAGATAAAACATTGTTTTTACAATTTCTTTAAAGCTGGAGTTTAATCTGCTTATAATTTGCCTTCCCTTGATCCTCACTTCCCCTCTTCAGTAACATGCTAATCACATTTTTAAGAAAACCATTCTACACATATAAATAAAGAAATAAGTGAGAGCTTTAAAAATGATAGCAGCTAGGCACACAGGATAACCAACAAAAATCCTCACATAAAAATATAAATAAAGTGCAGCGCTAAAATAAAATAAAAGGAAAACAAATAAATAGGTAAATGTAGTTTAAAATAGTCCCAACAAAGGTGACTTAGGCTAAAAATGCACACTAACCAGATGTGCACATTAAAAGTGCAGTGTAGAAATCATAAAGCTCATGGAGTGATCATCAGAATGGAAATAGTAGATGTGTTCCCTTGATCAAAGAAGATCCTCGGATGGTACAGAGCTGAACAGGAAAAATTCCACTTGATGACAGTAAAGAACGGACGTTGCTCCACCAAAAAGAACGACTCCTCCACTGGGCAAAACGGTGTCTGGGAAAAAAATGCTCCCCGCAGGGGGTCAAAAAAAGATGCCCATAGTGAAGTATTGCTTAAACAAATTTATTGAAGGACAAGTGACAGTAGCGAGGGGGATGCATCCAATAAAATCAAATTCAGCAGAAAGGACTAACCGTCCTATCAGATGTAGTGGCCGCCGGAGCTCCACGATGCTCCAACGGCGTGACGTCACGGCGTGCGTAGGCTCCTCCTTACGCGTTACGTGCCAAGCACATCCTCAGAGAAAGAACCAATTCTACACATAGCTTGTTTTAGACCCAGCTGGCTTTCTGTGTGTCTCTCTGCAAAGTAGGGAGATCATGGCTGGTGAGAAGGATTGGTAGGCTACTGTACGTAGCTTCCTAAAAACATCACTGCACCCTGCCCCTGTAATCCTCTCAAGATCAAAACACCAAAATTCATAGGCAGACAGCATTTGCATGTAGACGGCCATAGGTAATACCCACATTCTAATGCACAAAAGCTCACAGTGTGCAGAGAAATCAGAGTAAGCAATTTCAATCCAGGAGAGGAGTCGGTACAACTGTGCAAGACTGAAAGGAAGGCCGGAGTTAAGCTTTACGCCAATGAGACTACAAAAGGGGCAAAAAAAAAGTTGGACCAACTAGCAATAAATTAAATTTCCACTGTGTTGAAGAATTTGTGTCAGAATTCTTAGATAATTAGCTATTGTAGCGTGTCACACTTCTAGAGGGAGGATCAGATGTTGGCAATGCTACTGAATTATTCCTAGCGATGAATGGTCTGGACGAAGTTCGGCTAGCAGAGGTTTTGGTGAACTCATGAAAATATCTACTAAACTCAAACTTGAACTCCACTGAAGTCTATTTTATATATTTTTTTTAATTCAAAACAAACAAAAAAACACAATTTGATGTCAGGTGCCATGTCAGGATTGGCCTGCTCCTAGAAACGTTAAGGAAATTTGTTGAATATGCCAACTTCTACATAAACTTCAGACAACTCGCACAGAGGAGAAAGATGCAGCTTCATCCTTGCGCTTATTTCTCTCTCGATTAATGTCTTCAGTTGAAAGGAATTATGACATTGGGGCTAATCATTCTGTAACTGTTCTCGATGATCATAAAAATTTGGAATGTGTTCTGCCAAGAGATTGTCTTCTAAACAAGTCTGTTCTTTTTCTAGGTTCAATTTTATTATCTCAGCTCAACCTGGGTCAGGGAATGGTAAGGCTGATGCCTTATCAAGGATGGTGTCTTAACTTCTCCAGGAAGACAACTCTGAATGTGCATAGCTGCAGGGGCGGACTGACCATTTGGAAACTCGGGCACTGCCCGAGGGCCCGGGGTCAGTAGGGGGCCCCATGAGATGCCCCTGGTACCTTTTTCATAGGCTTTTTTGAGTTTGGGCATGGACACAGAGGCCCCATGATCCCCTATTGCCCGGGGGCCCCATGAGTTGTCAGTCCACCCCTGCATAGCTGCCTCAAAAGAACTTTCTAGGTGTCACAAGATCCAAGAGATTCTTAAGTCTCCTCAAAAAGAGGTATGAGAATGACCCACTTATCAATCATTCTCCTAAGAACATTAACCTCGAGTACAAGGACTCAAGCACTATGTCTCTATGTACCTGAATGGGTTTGAGTAGAAGCCCTCAGGTTGGTTCATGACTCTAAATTTGCTGGGCAATTTGGGATTTCTAAGAAGGAGGAACTATATTGTTATAATGTTCTTTTGGTGGCCTGGTTACAAAAAAGATGAAAGAACTATTTGACCTTGTGCCTGACCTGTGCATGGAGTACGGCACCCTGATGTTCTCCTTTGGGGTTACTTCAACCACTCTCTGTCCCATCAAGACCATGATGGTCAATCTTTTTAGACATTGTGGTTGATCTTCCTCCCTCAGATGAGCATTGTCTTGGTAGTCGTTAACCATCTCACTAAGATGACTCAATTTATACCTGTTAAGGGGGTACACTCTGCTGAATAAATTGTGGTGTTGAAGGTTCGAGGAGTCTTTAAATTACAATGAATTCTTTATGACGTGGTGTCTGACAGAGGAGTACGATTTACTTTGAAATTTTGTAAAAACTTTTGCTCAGCTTTAGATATAACAGTCAATCTGTCCTCTGCTTTTCATCCTCGGTTTAATGGTCAAACCTTGAAGCAGTACCTTCAATGTTTTGTCAGTTCTCTTTACAATGACTGGGTGGATTATCTTCCTACTGCAGAGTTTGTTTATAGCAATTCTAAACATAGCCACGTCTCAAAGTCCTTTTTTCTTAAATATCGGGTATCATCCAGTTTTTATTCCTGATATCCCTATCTCCTCTCTAATTCCTGATGTTACCAACAGATTAGCTGCATTACTGGAGATTCAGGTGGAATTGAATGATGCTTTTGTAGTGCTACCCCTATTGGGGCCGTTGGATTTCATAGGTTCTTTCCCAAACGGTGCAAAAGGAGTCAGACACACAGCAACAACACTCCATTAACTTTGGGTCAGTAATCAGTCTAGGGGTTGTAATTTTTTTTTTTTACGTTTTTTTGCTAGTAAAAATTTGGTAGGGGATTTGGGGTGATGTGGGATACTCCAAAACTGAACTACATTGCTAGCAGAAGATACTTCTTACTAAGTAGCAGAAGCACTAATGAACCAAGAAGAAGCATTAGCACAGGTAAAGAGACTTTACTCACAGGATCCTGGCACACAATCAATCTATAGGTGTATCCTCCAGTAAAGTAGCTCAGCGTCCAATCCACAGGCTCCAGGGGCAAACAGCCCCCCACCTCTAAGCTCAGAGATCCATCCCCACAGGGAAAAAAAAGACTCCTCAGGGCTCCAGACTACTTATCAGCAAATTAAATATGAGAGCTCTATAGCCACCCACCTCCCTCTAGAACATTAGGCCCAGTCTTCAATGAAAATTGCTTTTGGAACAAGAACAGAGTATCCCACAATAACAAAGGATAGGGAAAGGAAAATAACAGTGTAACAAATGTGAATGTGGCATTCTACATAGTAAACATTTCTTAGACAAATGCTTAATTTGAATGCAAACTTTGTATAGCATAATGGGAAACTCACACCAGGTAATATCAAGATTGAATAAGGTGTCTGAATTCTTACAGCATATATTCACACAGATAAACTGCCTAACTAGGTAGAGCTCTACTGCTAACTAAATATAAATGGTTAGTGCATCAGAAATTCAACAAGTTATAATCCTATACTCACAGTTGATCCAGAGGAAGGCAAAAAAAACCCCAGCAAAGCATGAACTAATTTGCTCCTGCTGGGAAAAAAATTCCTTCCTGATCCCCCGAGAGGCAATCGGATATTCCCTGGATCAACTTTACCTATAAATGTTATATCCAGTTATATTCTGTGTATCCAAGAAAGAATCCAGGACTTTCCTACAGCAATCCACTGAGCTGGCCACAACCAACTCTTGAGGGAGTCTATTCCACATTTTCACCGTTCTCACTGTGAAGAAACCTTTCTGTGTTTGGAGATTAAATCTCTTTTCCTCCAGACGTAAAGAGCGCCCCCTTGTCCTCTGTGATGAACTCAGGGGGAATAACTCTACACTGAGTTCACTATATGAACCACTATAATATGATGTATTATACATGAAGATCATATCCCCCCTTATGTATTATACATGAAGATCATATCCCCCCTTATGTATTATACATGGAGATCATATCCCCCCTTATGTATTATACATGGTGATCATATCCCCCCCTTATGTATTATACATGGAGATCATATCCCCCCTTATGTATTATACATGGAGATCATATCCCCCCTTATGTATTATACATGGAGATCATATCCCCCTTATGTATTATACATGGAGATCATATCCCCCCCTTATGTATTATACATGGAGATCATATCCCCCCTTATGTATTATACATGGAGATCATATCCCCCTTATGTATTATACATGGAGATCATATCCCCCCTTATGTATTATACATGGAGATCATATCCCCCTTATGTATTATACATGCAGATCATATCCCCCCTTATGTATTATACATGGTGATCATATCCCCCCTTATGTATTATACATGGAGATCATATCCCCCCTTATGTATTATACATGGTGATCATATCCCCCGTTATGTATTATACATGGAGATCATATCCCCCCTTATGTATTATACATGGAGATCATATCTCCCCTTATGTATTATACATGGAGATCATATCCCCCATTATGTATTATACATGGAGATCATACCCCCCCCCCTTATGTATTATACATGGAGATTATATCACCCTTATGTATTATACATGGAGATCATATCCCTTCTTATGTATTATACATGGAGATCATATCCCCCTTATGTATTATACATGGTGATCATATCCCCCCTTATGTATTATACATGGGGATCATATCCCCCCTTATGTATTATACATGGTGATCATATCCCCCCTTATGTATTATACATGGAGATCATATCCCCCCCTTATGAATTATACATGGAGATCATATCCCTTCTTATGTATTATACATGGAGATCATATCCCCCTTATGTATTATACATGGTGATCATATCCCCCCTTATGTATTATACATGGAGATCATATCCCCCCTTATGTATTATACATGGTGATCATATCCCCCCTTATGTATTATACATGGAGATCATATCCCCCCCTTATTAATTATACATGGAGATCATATCCCCCTTATGTATTATACATGGAGATCATATCCCCCCTTATGTATTATACATGGAGATCATATCCCCCTTGTGTATTAAACATGGTGATCATATCCCACCTTATGTATTATACATGGAGATCATATCCCCCCTTATGTATTATACATGGAGATCATATCCCCCCCTTATGTATTATACATGGAGATCATATCCCCCTTATGTATTATACATGGAGATCATATCCCCCCTTATGTATTATACATGGTGATTATATCCCCCCTTATGTATTATACATGGAGATCATATCCCCCCTTATGTATTATACATGGTGATCATATCCCCCCTTATGTATTATACATGGTGATCATATCCCCCCTTATGTATTATACATGAAGGTCATATCCCCCCCCTTATGTATTATACATGGAGATTATATCCCCCTTATGTATTATACATGGAGATCATATCCCCCCTTATGTATTATACATGGAGATTATATCCCCCTTATGTATTATACATGGAGATCATATCCCCCCTTATGTAATATACAAGGAGATTATATCCCCCTTATATATTATACATGGTGATCATATCCCCCCTTATGTGTTATACATGGAGATCATATCTCCCTTATGTATTATACATGGAGATCATACCCCCCCCTTATGTATTATACATGGAGATCATATCCCCCTTATGTATTATACATGGTGATCATATCCCCCTTATGTATTATATATGGTGATCATATCCCCCCTTATGTATTATACATGGAGATTATATCCCCCTTATGTATTATACATGGAGATCATATCCCCCCTTATGTAATATACAAGGAGATTATATCCCCCTTATGTATTATATACGGTGATCATATCCCCCTCTTATGTATTATATATGGAGATCATATCCCCCTTATGTATTATACATGGAGATCATATCCCCCCTTATGTATTATATATGGAGATCATATCCCCCTTATGTATTTATACATGGAGATCATATCCCCCCTTATGTATTATACATGGTGATCATATCCCCCTTATGTATTATACATGGAGATCATATCCCCCCTTATGTATTATACATGGAGATCATATCCCCCTTATGTATTATATACTGTGATCATATCCCCCTTATGTATTATATATGGTGATCATATCCCCCCTTATGTATTATACATGGTAATCATATCCCCCTTATGTATTATACATGGAGATCATATCCCCCCTTATGTATTATACATGGTGATCATATCCCCCTTATGTATTATACATGGAGATCATATCCCTCCTTATGTATTATACATGGAGATCATATCCCCCCTTATGTATTATACATGGTAATCATATCCCCCTTATGTATTATACATGGAGATCATATCCCCCCTTATGTATTATACATGGTGATCATATCCCCCTTATGTATTATACATGGAGATCATATCCCCCCTTATGTATTATACATGGAGATCATATCCCCCCTTATGTATTATACATGGTGATCATATCCCCCCTTATGTATTATACGTGGAGATCATATCCCCCCTTATGTATTATACATGGAGATCATATCCTCCCTTATGTATTATACATGGAGATCATATCCCCCCTTATGTATTATACATGGTGATCATATCCCCCCTTATGTATCATACATGGTGATCATATCCCCCCTTATGTATTATACATGGTGATCATATCCCCCCTTATGTATCATACATGGAGATCATATCCCCCCTTATGTATTATACATGGAGATCACATCCCCCCTTATGTATTATACATGGAGATCATA